CAAAAACGATTTTCTTAGGCCCGTATCGTTAGTCGTCCCTACAATTGTAGTGCGCGTTTATGACCTCCTTGATTGTCATACTCCTTTCTCTCCTTCAAAAATTTCTAGATTACACTTGTCCCGTGTCAGCGTCAGCGCTCTCCTATTGTGAAGATATGTTTTCTTATTAAATTGTAGGAAATTTCAGGCTGATAAAACATGATATAACTCAAAAGCAAGCACAGTTTGATGCAAATAGATGTTTGTGACATAACCTCAAAATCGAGTTCTGACACGGAGAAGTAGAAAACTATAACAATCAAGGAGGCCATAAAGGCGCCCTACAATTGTAGGGACGACTGACGATACGGGCCTTAAAGCTAAAATCATGCCAGACCTCATAAAAAAATATTTTTTTTTTATTTTCGAGAAGAAAGAACATTTTCCTTACAGCAATCACAGATGTAAAATAACTTATTACTATAATCTGCACACAGCTTATGGCACCATTGGGTACAGATGTTGCACTGGATCCAGGCTTCCCCAGGCTTAGAGTTTCCGAAAATATCTCCACATACTAGGCAAGGCACGGAGTTTTCTTCTGGACTAGTTACTACTTTTGGTGGCTTAGTAATTTTTACTTTTGGGGAACCAGGGTCAACAATTTTTCTTTTAATGGTATTTTTTTCTTCTCGCTGATTGGTTTCTTCGCAGCATTTTCCCGAATTTCATTTTTTACTGGCGTCTGTCAAAATCTCGCTTTTTTGAGTTTTTCTTATTGGTTTCAATGAGTCTCGTTTATCGCATTTGGGAATTACTGTTATATCTATAATATTCACACAATACGTGAAATGTACACATTGTGAACATAAAATATTTCCACACTACTTAGCTAGTCATATGATGAATCATACTGGAGCTAAGCTCAAGTGTACAAAGTCTGAGGCGTCATTTATAAGCAAACGATCTTTAGACAACCACATTTTGCGGAAACATCCTGAGTTTTCTACTTCTGTATCTCATAAGATACATAAATGTACACATTGTGAATATAAATGTCTGAAAAAGCAGCAATTCATCAGACATATGATGATGAAACGGATTTCTCAAAAGCATTTAACAGACTTGACCATGGAGTACTAATACAGAAGCTTTTAAGATGTGGTATATCACTTGGATTCGCAAATTTCCTCAGATCTTATCTGTTGGACAGAATACTTTTCGTTGAGTACCGTGGTTTTAGGTCTGTCAGTGTTTCTACGACATCTGGGGTGCCCCAGGGCTCCGTCCTGGGTCCGCTATTATTCGCTATATTTGTGAATGATCTCAGTGGCCAACTAAATTGTTGCAACTTATTGTACGCAGACGACTTGAGATTATTTTCTAGAATTGACACTATTGTCGATTGTGTGAAGCTTCAGGATGAACTAGTACGTCTGTATGAGTGGTGTTGCCTGAATCAGCTGTATCTGAATATTACAAAATGCCAGACTATGTCTTTCACACGTAAGCAGAATATAATTGGTTATGCTTATCACATAAATGGTCAAGTCTTGGATGGTTGTTCCATTGTGAGGGATCTAGGTGTTTCTTTCGACCCACAGTTAACTGTTGTGCAACACATTACTGAAATTGTAACCGGTGCGCACAAGACGATGGGTTTCATACTTAGGTGTGGCAAGAGCTTCAATAATGCTAAAACTCCTTTATTGTTATTCAATGCGTTTGTTAGATGTAAGCTGGAATACTGTAGTATAATTTGGTACCCTGCATATGATGTACATTCGGACAGCATTGAAAAGGTCCAGCGACGTTTTGCTAAATATTTATGGTTCAAGGAAGATGGGATTTATCCTGAGGCTGGATTTCGCAATGACTTTTTGCTCAGTAGATTTAATATGGTAAATTTATCTAAGCGCAGAAGTTACGCTGTGGTTTTCTTATATAAAATGTTGAACAACACAGTTGATTGCCAGTTTCTTTTAGAAAAGCTGTCATTACACGTACAGTACCGAAACATAAGGTTTAACAATACCAATTTCTATTTACCTGTGCCTCGTACCAATGTGTTACTTTTTTCGCCATTATATGTAATGTGTAACCACTATATCACTTTTAAAAAGGTAGTTTTTGACTGCAGGTTAAGAACTTATTTAGATGTAATGTGTGTAATGTACTTGATACGTTGTTTATTGCTTATTTTTTCTGTTTTTTTGTATTTTGAATATTTCCTGTTTGTTAAATGGAATCATATGTTCGAGCAGTGTACTAACCGCAAATAAATAAATAAAAAAACATACTGGAGCTAAGCTCAAGTGTACAAAGTGTGAGGCGTCATTTACAACCATACTATCATTAGACCATCACATTATGCGGAAACATCCTGTGTACACATGTACACATTGTGAATATAAAACTACATTTCCACACTGCTTAGCTTGGCATATATATATATACATATCGTCGGTGGAAGAGACAGTCGGTAGTTGTGAGAAATATTGGGAAATTGCTTGAAATACGTAAACAGTATGGTAGTTCAGAGCGGACAGTGCGGGATCGAATTAAAGTAAAAAATTAGTTTCTTGTTCATTTTTACACAGTTTGTAGGTATTTTTGATGAAAATATCTATATTAAATGGACTCACTATGAGTGTGTTTAATTTCTTTTCCTCAAAGTCTTAATGAAAGCTGATGTGAAATGTCTATTCTACCATTAAAAATTCTTAAACAAGTTTCTACCTACAACTGGCCAATCAATTCCTGTCCGACAATTGGAAACTAACCGGCACACTAATACCGCCTTCTGTCCGAGTACCGGCAAAATAGCACCTTTTTGATTGATATTTTTTTATAAAATTACAGGAATATCTAAACGATGTATTTGTTGTAAGCGAAAAGTTAACAACATAAATATATAATCACCTACAAAATCCAAAAGCATTAGTTGTGATATCTTGAACACAAAATTCGTAATTACACTTTGTATTCCACTTTTGTCTAAACTGTTCGACCACTGGCACATATTCACCCTACCCATTTAATCAGTTGTATTCTGAAGCAAAGCTGTTAGGCCCTAGGCCACTATTTTTTTACTGAATTATAACTTATCAGTTTCAACATAGAAATTATTACGTTAGATCACTTATATCAAATAGACACAGGATCAACAACACACCAATCAAACACCTTCTATGCTATCCCAGATTTATTTGTTCCTCCCCGTTCCGTGTTGGATTTTTGCTCTTTTATTCTTACTGAGATTGGTCTTATTGAAAATCTAGTTTCGATTTGGTATCGTCTTCCAGTTCTTCTGAATGCATTACTTATTCCCCCATCACTGGCAGAATTGATGAAATCCCATTTCAAATGTCAAATGGGATAAATATTCGGGATGATTTCGTAATCGCACTCCTAAATACCAGTTTGAACGCAGATTTATTTCAATGCCTGCACGATTTTACGCAGAACGTTGTGCAAAAATTACAAGAACTTATAACACGGCTTCAACCATTACATCTTCAATAAATACTGTAAGGGAACCATGATCTTTTAAAAAAATGGTAATTTTCTAGATACTTCATTGTGAGAAGGGTTCCGTTGATTTTGGGTAGGACAGATGAATTGTTTTTTAAAATATTCAGGTTCTTGCTGACTAGACTATCTCCTCCGAGTCGTCTCGTTTTGAGATGAGAATAATCTTAAGTTACCTAGTAGAGATATCTAAGCATTTTTATTTAGTTAAAAGTAATCATATAGAGAAATCCAGCTAAAAAGTATACTGTTAAATCTTCTCCAGTAGATGTCGCTAGTTCTGTTGAGTTGGCGGCATCTGTAATTTGAGAAGATATATAAACCGAATGTTAAAAACTGTATAAAACAGAGATACTTCTATGTTCCTCCAACAGATGACAGAAGCCACAACACAAGTGACTGACTCCCACTGTACATGTTTTGTGGGTTGAGCCAGTGATGCCAGAGCTACCGATTTATCAGTAGATCTACCGATTTTGAGTCCGCTACTGATATACCGATTTTTACCAACAATCTACCGATTCATTTTCCATTCAGTGAAGACATACAATTTATTTCATAAAATTGACTGATAATACCCGATAGGTACGCGGGTGATTGACGTGATTTCCTGATTCCCCGGTACGGTATAGGCCATAGTATTATTATTTGAATAGAGTATTTTCTTCTTAGCTAATCAAATATTTATTATATATTTATTATAATTAAATTGCAGTGAGTTATACATATTATTTTATATTGAATATGTTTTTAAAAGATGTGTTCATTTATTTACCTATTTTCTTTCTTAGTAAATAAGTTTATACTTATATATATTTTACAGCGTTTTACTTATATATCATACATACATACAAATATTAGCGTTAAAAATCATATTAATAGAAAAACTACCGATATTTAGAAGGTTTAACCTACCGACTTTTTAAGGAGAGTTCTGGCACCACTGGGTTGAGCTTTGGTGTTTTAAATGTGATTTTTGCCTATGCAGCAACGGTAAACGGTAGGTACTAGGTGGCAGGAGGGTGAAACATTACAAAATTGCAAGTTATACAAAACAAAATTCTATGAACAATACTGCATGCTCCTTAGCATGTATCTAACGCGACAATTCATCATGACCTGGATATTCCTTTCTTGTCTCAATTCATTAAGCAAATTGCAAGCAAAAGTTACGAACGTGCAAATTCACATTCAAATAAGAGATGCGGTGACATATGATCCTGCATCCATTCGCAAACACAAAAGACCTAGATTAGCACTTCTTTAACAATCTGAACCTCTAAAACTATGATGTATTCTTTATTTCGTTACATTGACTACTTTTTTCATAATGTATAATCTATCTTTGGCATTTTTTGTCGAAGAGATTCGTTTTTCTGCCAGTTAGAGCCTCAGTAATTTTTGGGCAAAAGGCCCCCAGTCGACTCTGAGGAGTCAAGTCAAGGGGGGTGAAACTCATTTTGGCGAATGGGATACAACGTAGTGTTGCTGATGCACAATATGACAACCATGTCGCCCTCTCAAAATATGGCTTATTCTCAACTGACGATGTCTGAACCTCTGAAGTCTGATGGGCCAGATTTAAATTTCCGGCAGGTTTCTTCCTGTGCTCTGTGCTTTGCAAAATAACCTTACTTTTTTCAGCATGTCATTTTCTAAACACTTCATTTTTTACAAATAATATGCCATAGAATTATTTTATTCATTATATATATCCTAGAAATCAAGACTGGACATTCAATAAGTCGTGTAGAGGAACCAAGAGCATGAGTTTCAGTTCAACATTGCAAAGGTAAGAAATCTATTAATAGTTGATCAAGAAACATTCAAATAGCTCTCTCATTGTATGGTACAATGAGGTGTACCTATCTACCATGCAATGGCAACTTTAGGAGCTTTGAAAATACTAGAGTAACTCGTCACTTCTTTTATAAATATTTATGCCATTGTTTAACATGTTCTCCTAGGAGATACCCAGAATCATGTTGTATTTGGATATTCACATAAAATTTTAACCATCACAGCCATTTTGCCAAGTAACTAATTCCATTTGAAGTAATAAAAACAGATTCCACTTTCCTTTTAACACATTCACTGCCATGTTGGCTCTCATTTACCTACATATGCCTGCATAAATGGGCCAACATGGCATAGAAGCTATAGGCCGCACATATAATTTCTTAGATTTTTCCATAATGAGGAATGTGGCCCCAATGGGACTGACATCTTTTTTATATGGTGACCCACTAGTGCTCAATGTAAAATGTATGTTTGGCATGGTGGACACATGTTAAAAAATATGCCTGGAAGCGAACATGTTAAAGAAAATTGTTTATTCTTACATGTGACATCAACCTCCCAAGTAAAGATCACCTTTCAACATCCTTCATAATTATATAATATTTTATATTCTCATCTAAATGGTAGAGAAGGAAATCCCTTCAGCAACAGTCCAAGAAGTGGCAACACAGCCTAGAGATGGTGCTTGATAGTTATAATGATATTATTGTCAAAGATGAACACTGGGATGGAGTTAACCAGGTGAAAATGGAGAATCAGTTAGTAGTTAGTGTTAAATCTGAAACACCAGAAGCAGAACAAACTGTGAACAACACAGAGTTAGGAAATATGGACACTTTGATGCTAAATGAAGAGTTTGACATCAAATATGAATGTGAAGATGCCATATTTGATAGGTGGGCCTAATTTTGTTTTGGATCTATTCAATTCAAAAAATACCTTAGAAACAAATGAGTCATTTATACTGGGTATTCATTAAAAATGTTTCCTCATACTTAATTTTCAAACAGTTCAACTTAGCAGAAGTTTGGGGTGATGAAATTAATGCACAAGTATTATAGGTATGTTAGCTTATTAGTAATTTCAAGATGGTTGTTGAGCACCATCAAAAATATCGTAGAATGTAAGAACTATTTTACATTTCATAAGTATTCCTGTATGTACCATATTTTTTCACCTGTTTGTTTTAATATACTTCACCAACCAGAGATTTTCTATTCTTATCACTCTCTTTTTTGAAATTCAGCAATTGTTTTGCAAATGTAATTTCTGAGTTGAATAAGAAAAAGCAGATGCGCAACTAATTTTTAGCTTTGCATACATCTCAAGTAAGTGTATTTGAGACAAGAAACCAATGGAATGATCATCAACACATATAATTAACACACAAATCCTCACTATGAACCTATGCACTGCCGTTTCCATCTAGCTATAGTATACAATTTACAGCTTAAACCTCCAATACTACTCTGAAACAGATGTTATATCACATCAGAGACAAACAGTGACAGCTGAAGCAACACATACACAACAATTGTACAACACCTAGTGCAAAGTTGACGTCTTGTAGAAAAAACTGCATAATCAAACAGCGTTAATGCTCTGGAAAAATGCTCCAAGGTGGGGCCCTACCATCATTTTGACATGTTGCACTGCTACCCTAACAATAATAATAATAACCGTAATCTTTATTTGCAAATAGAAATGCTATATAAATGCTGTAAACCACTTGTGATACAAGTAGCATCAACCAAAAAGTTCCTCTGAATCATTTAAGTCAAATCTGTCTTGAAAAAGTAATCTATTGTGACGGTAATAGTTTATTTAATATTTTTTTAAATCTACTTAGTTTTACAATCTTTTTCCTAACTTTCGGTAAATGGTTGAAAACTTTAAGACAATTGTTGAGGGGTCCTTTTTGCAAATAATGCTAATCTATCCTCAGGATAAATATGGTTAAAAAAAGCTAAAATTTAGTATTCATGCATGAAATTCGTCACCCCATTCAAAAAATAGCTGGGAAGGGGAACCTTCTTGAATCATCTTGTAAATTGACTGCCTTGTATAAAACTCCCTCTTTATTACCATTTTAGAATTAAAGTTGAAGAGAAATTAGAGCCTGGACTTGAAGCTGATTCGATAGCAGATACAGTTAACCAGATGAAAATGGAGTTCCAAGAATCTGACAAGCTGGAAGAAAAACCAGATTTAAGGAGCACAAATCTTGAAAATATGTACGCGTTGGGGCTACATCACGGATTTGACATCAAAACTGAGAGTGACCAAAGTGACGAGCATGATTCGGCGTCCGATAGGTGAGTCTCCTTCAATCCCTAACTCTACGAGATGCCTCAAAATGAAATATGAATTTTTAGTATACAAGGTGTGTAATAAAATTTTGTAGGTTTGGAGACTCCGATTGTCAAAAAATGTTTTGCAGCACTACTGACATAGATCCCCGAATCATAACAGAAGCCGGAAACCTGACTTTTTTATAAGACACTCATTCTGAAACACTTCTTCTTTAGTTCTTATGACACAACTCCTACTATTACCAACGCATATGGAGTTCTATTGGTTTGGAGACCATAATTTGTGCTCTTTGGTCCATGCTAGTCTGTTTTTCTTCTGAATTCTTCTTCTTGTGTCAGTATACTGAATTAAAAACGAATTATAAATTATAATGTAAGTCTACCTTATAAATTTCAAATACCTGTCTTTGGGAGGCTCTCTGACAGCTGTTGAAAACTTTTTTGTGGTTGCCTGATAGTTTCAATTCGTTATAATTAGCACGCCAATTTCAATTGATAATCCGTTTTAAGGCTCTCAAGTTCGTATTTTAATAACGCGGGCGTTCTGTGTTTTTGAGCCACAGATCCCGTTGTTTTGTACTATTTAATAATATTTCAAACTATATACCTGGATTTGTTAACATTGATTTGGGAAGCATTTTGACTTTTTCAATGCAAATGAATGATCAATTTTCTTATTTTGTTAGAAACATCTTTACCACCAGCCATTTTTAATTGTTAGCAACAACACAAGTGTATTGTTTTACAAAGGCTACCTTTATTTTACCGAAACGAATAAACAGACCATTCAACTTAAGTTGTCTCCATAATGTATTTTGCTTTACACAAATCATTTTGCAAAGATGACAATTTCGAAATAAAAACACATTAAAAGTAGACGCGTTGGTTTTGTTATATTGTTATAAACATTTAAAGAAACCAAAAATATATTTTGGAAAATCAGGATCGCTTTCCAGGAAACAGTGCCGATTAAATAAGTAAATGCAACAAGGTTCAAACACAAAGCAACACTAGATGATCGTGTGATTAGGAAGCATGTCGGATATATTGCATCAGTTTCATTTAAAATACATGAATGTACATTTTATGATTTTGAAACCGTTCGTAAAAGTAGTTTAAGCGTGCATATGTCAAGACATGCTTCTTTTTCTGACCTGCACATGTGCAAATCTTGTAATAGGTCATTTTCAAATCCCAATACCCGAACTTAAGCGGACAGTGTCTACCAGTATATATGATTGTATGTATCGTTAATTTGAAATAACCAGTAAGACTACAATTATATAACACATGGCGAAACATAATACTCGAAAAACATTTGAGTGTATTCATTGTAACATTGTAATGTGTACTGCTTCTGTGTTCTCCTAAGATACCCGAGTTTTTACATTGTGAATATAAAACGACAATCATGAACACTTTAGCTGTACGAGTACGAGTCTTTGGTTCGATTAGTTGTATCAGTCTTTGAATAGTTCGTATACTTTCATTTGTCTGAGTATCTTGTGCGAAAAAATGGCCCATGTTTACGAAAACAATGAACTAGATGACATAATACTAACATATACGGAAAGTGCCAACAAATTGCAGTCGCAGCTTGCAGGTTGTACGCGGAAAGGTGTCCTTTAAGAAATCATCCGGCCCCACGGATGTTTGTAAATTTAGTTATTAGACTTCGTGACACAAGATAATATGCCACAATTATTAGATGTTCCTCTAAATGTGAGACAGAAGGTGTGGTTCCTACATGATGGTACTCCACCATATTTTAGACGAGAAGCTCATGAACATCTAAATAATGAGTTTCCGAATAGATGGATAGGGCGCAATCGGCCCATTTATCGGCCTGCTCACTCCCCGGATTTTAACGCCTTGCGATTTTTTTCTGTGGGGCTATTTGAAAGAGTTGGTGTATCACGATGGAGCAGTAAAGATTCTGGAAGAGCTTCAACAGCGCACTGAAAATGCTTGTGATTTAATTCGTGGACACCAGGATTTTATTTTCGGAGCTTGTATGTTAAAGAGTCGTGGATTCGCCAAGCGAGATTGTGCGTTAATCGAACAAATTGGGACAATTCGGAATAGTGTTTGTAAGAACGGTATCCGTTTAACTTGCTAATGATTCTCTTAAATAAATCTCAATAATGATTGTTTAAATTAATATTATTTTTTGAAATAACGTTTAATGCAGAGTTCAGAATCTGTCGCGCTATACGCAACTGAATCGATTCTCTTTATCAATTAAAAAACGTAAAGTATAATGAAACTTTTTTTCAGACTACCAATAAAGAAAACGCGGGAAAAGGAACAACGAAATCCAGCGATGGAAGAAGGAAAAAAGTCGTTCAGCTGCTATAAATGTAACTATACGAGCCATTGTAAAAAGGGTTTGATCGGTCATATCAAAAGAAACAATTGCTATTTAGGATCTAGTTTGGGAAAATCAGGTTCTCATTTGGTTAAAAAACATGTAGGATCTATTGCGTTAGTTTCATCTAAAATACATGAATGCACATTGTGTTATTTTAAAACCGCTTATAAAGGTGATTTAACCAGGCATATGCTGAAGCATACTACTAAACTACGCATATGCAAACATTGTAATACATCATTTAAAACAGAACGATCGCTTTTTGCCCATATTTTAAAGATACATCCCAACTTTAGCGGGACAATTTCTAGTAAGATATATGAATGTATGCATTGTGCACATAAACAAATAGCTAGGAGTAGTTTTATAAAGCACCTGGCAAAACATGATATCCAAACGACATTCAAGTGTAGAAACTGTGATGCTTCATTTAATACTAAACGACGCTTAGAAAGCCATACTTTACATAAACATCCTAAAATACGTGAATGTGCACAATGTGAATATAAAACTGCAATTAAATACTGCTTAGCTAGGCATATGATCAAACATACTGGAGCTAAGCTCAAGTGTACAAAGTGTGAAAAGTCATTTACAACCATACGAACATTAGACGATCACATTTTGCGGGAACATCCTGAGTTTACTACTTCTGTATCTAGTAAGATACATAAATGTACATATTGTGAATATAAAACTACATATAAGGGGAATTTAGTTAGCCATATGATGAAACATACTGGAGCTAAGCTCAAGTGTACAAAGTGTGATGCGTCATTTACAACCATACGAACATTAGACAACCACATTTTGCGAAAACATCCTGAGTTTACTACTTCTGTATCTCGTAAGATACATAAATGTACACATTGTGAATATAAATGTCTGGAAAAGCAGCAACTCATCAGACATATGATGAAACATACTGGAGCTAAGCTCAAGTGTACAAAGTGTGATGCGTCATTTACAACCATACGATTATTAGACAACCACATTTTGCAAAAACATCCTGAGTTTACTACTTCTGTATCTAGTAAGATACATAAATGTACACATTGTGAATATAAAACTACATATAAGGGGAATTTAGTTAGCCATTTGATGAAACATACTGGAGCTAAGTTCAAGTGTACAAAGTGTGATGCGTCATTTACAACCATACTATCATTAGACAACCACATTTTGCGGAAACATCCTGAGTTTACTACTTCTGTATCTCGTAAGATACATAAATGTACACATTGTGAATATAAAACTACATATAAGGGGAATTTAGTTAGCCATTTGATGAAACATACTGGAGCTAAGCTCAAGTGTACCAAGTGTGATGAGTCATTTACAACCATACGATTATTAGACAACCACATTTTGCGAAAACATCCTGAGTTTACTACTTCTGTATCTCGTAAGATACATAAATGTACACATTGTGAATATAAATGTCTGCAAAAGCAGCATCTCATCAAACATATGATGAAACATATTGGAGCTAAGCTCAAGTGTACAAAGTGTGAGGCGTCATTTATAAGCAAACGATCTTTAGACAACCACATTTTACGGAAACATCCTGAGTTTTCTACTTTTGTATCTCATAAGATACACAAATGTACACATTGTGAATATAAATGTCTGGAAAAGAAGCAACTCATCAGACATATGATGAAACATTGACATCCATACAATCATTAGACGATCACATCTTGCGGAAACATCCAGAGTTTACTACTTCTGTATCTAGTAAGATACATAAAATTGTGACTATAAAACTATATATAAGGGAAATTTAGCTTACCATATGATGGAACGTACTGGAGCTAAGTTCACGTGAACATTTGCAAGAAAATAATAAGGTACACCGGGGCAAGTGTGACCCAAAATTTCAATAGTTCAACTTTTTCGCGTTGTATTTCCTATTTTTAATTATGATATTCACTGAAATTTTGAGAGTATAGTCTTAAGTATATGTAGAAACGAAATCTACAAACACAAAACAAAATCAGTATAGATTTTTTTCTAGAAATTATTTTTTTCATGTTAGAATAATGGTTTACACTTCCCCAGCAAATTGGGGCAAGTGTAAATACGCTGTCTGAATTACTACAAAAGTGTTGAGACTTGATTGGGGCTAGTGTAAATAAAAGAAGAGACTAAATATAATCAGATTTTTTTACTAGGAAAAATCACTTAGGATATATTTTGCTCAAATGTGATGTTGAAATGGAAGTGTCCTCTTCTGTGAATATCTGGGGCAGATGAAGATGAAGATCCCGAGCGTCTTGCAAATTTTGCTTCTAAACATGGCTCTACTTCTGTTACTTGCCCTACATAAAATTTAAATGGTTTTTTAGTAGCAAATTTTACTAGAATCCAGTCCCCTATTTTCAGTTCTTGAGGATCTTTCTCCAGGTATTTCACGAATTCTTCTTCTTCACGCAAATCATTTACTTCATCGTCTAAGTCAAAATCATCATCTGAAGTATTGACTTCCATTTCTTCAAAACTATCTTCATCTGTGTCTTCTTCGTATACTTGCTTTCTTTTCAATTTTTTACCATCTTTCTTAGTTGTCGACTTCTTTGGTTTTTTAATTTTGTTTGCTTTCTCGTTCAATTTAGCAACTGCTTCCAAGGATGTAATAACTTCGGCACCTATACATACTCTCTTTCTGATCGATTTCGCTGGTTTTGGCATCTGTTTTAGCTGTTCTAAGAGAATGCTCTCAAAACTTTTTGTGTTGTTAACTGGCGGATTCTGGTGTTCTGAACTGGTCGATGGCATTTCCGGATTTATTGAATTTACTGACGATGTCTGCGGAGTTATTGGTGGTACTGTTGAAGTGGATGGCAAATTAAAACGCTCTTCTAATGTTGATCGTAAATTTGGTTGCGCTACTTGTACTTCTTCCGGATTATTATTTTTGCAGTTTGAATCACACCACCTTTTATATGCTTCTGGATCGTAATGTTCAACGGGAATGACCTCATTATTAAAAGGATATATCCCCCCTTTCTCAAATCCTTTGATAAGTAACGAAGGGTTTACTTGTGACCAGATTTTTGATAAAATGGTACAAAACATAGGTTTTGGTAGTTTCGTACCATAGTTTTGTCTCTGCCATTTTATGAGCTCTGCATCCCATGCCATTTTTAATGACTTAAAAACACATAAATCCATAGGTTGTAGCAGATGGCTGGAATGAGGCGGAAGTTTCAATATAATCACATCATTAGCTATTGCCTTTTATATCAAAGAAATACTAATGTGAGACGTGTGACCGTCATAAATTAATACAGTAGGTCTGTCTTTGCCAATATTTGGTAAAAAATTGTTTTCAAAATATTTTTGAAAGGTTTCCGTTTCCATCCACCCATTTTTAGTGGCTGAATAAGTCATTCCCGGGTATTCCTCAGTTGGAATCCAACTATTCCATATGTGTTTACCCTTGAACACTACGAGTGGAGGAAGTTTTTCACCTGCAGCGTTTCCCCCAAGGAGAACTGTTATATTCTCTCGTGCTGGACCACTTGTTGTCCTATGGGCTGCTCTACCCTTCTCTCCAACAACTTTTATCCGGGATGGATCCAGGCAGAAACCGGTTTCATCAATATTATAAATTTGCGATGCTGGGATATTTTCAATATGCTGTTTGAGGGTATTGAAGTAATCATACATAACAAATGGATCCATAGACCTCTTTCGAGCCACTTCCACAGATTGCGGTTTTTTTCTGGCTTAAATGAAATGGTTTCGTGAATCTGACGAAATAATCATTGCCAGGATCTCCATTCTTGAAAGGGGTTACTATATTATTATCTTTCACATACCGCCCAATTAGTTGAAGAACTTCTCTCTTTGATAATCCCATACCCCATTTTTCGAGTATTTTAATACTGTAGGAAAATTTTTGTTCTACATCATAAGGCAGAGCTGGTTCCCTACCCCCCGTATTACTTTTTATACCCCGTTTACCCTTTACATGAGTAAATAAAGTAGCTTTGGGTATTTTGTACAATAATGCAGCTCTATATAATGTTAGAGTACCTCTTTGCACAGCTTGTACTGCCTCTTTCAAATCGTTTTTGCTATAGGCTGGAGGAGTTTTCTTACGTATGTAATTCCGGATCATGTTCTGAAAACAACGGGAAAGTGTAAACGTAATAGAATTATTGGGGCAAGTGTAACCTACCATATTTCATACTTGCCCCAAGGGAGTTTTTTTTGGGGGCAAGTGTAAACCACAACATTTAAAAAAAAATTCTTTAAAATTCAGAAAAGATAAGTTTATTTACTAATAGATAATACCTTTAATGGAGTGCTTACCAGAAATTACGATGAAAAGTCGTCAAAGTTTTAATACAAAGAGATTTTTATAAGAGACTACAGAACTGCGTCGTCAACTGTAAATGCAAACACACTAAGTAACGAAATGTGATGAAGCGTTCGTTTTGCTAGCGCGCAAGACATCTATTGCGATGCTTAGCCGGTATCATAATAAACCTACTTGGCCATAGATGGCGCCATTATGATAGAATTTAAGACCACAAATTGGCATAGGTTACACTTGCCCCGTATTTACACTTACCCCGGTTTACCTTACTTAGACAACCACACTTTAAAGAAACAGCCTGAGCTTACCGCTTCTGGTAGCAAATTGAATAAATTTCTGGATCGTACAAATTTCAATACGTCGAGTCATAATAACTACGAATGCTGTAATGTGACATTTCATTGTAAATAGACATTTCTTGATCACGTAATAAAAAATCATGGAGATATTATTCGATTAACTATTAAAAATTATCGCGTAAAATACTGATAATGGTTGTATTCATCAGAATATATTCATACAGGGTATCCTGAAAGAGCAGCGAAATTGAAGAAGAATACTAGCTATTCATATCTTCAAGTACTGCCTCGTCACATTTTGTTTGTAAGCACTGCTTCACGTTGTTGCTGTTCGATTCAAAAACACGAGTTTGCTTAGTTATTCCTAAATTTGCAACATTTGGTGCTGTCTAGGTCTTCGACTGTGTCCAACCAGACGACTTTTGCACTATAAAAATAGATATATGCAGCTCTGATGAAAAAAAAACATCGAGGACGACGGCGACGTTCTAAGTGCACTCGCGGAGTATAAAGACAATGTTTAAGATGCTCATATCAAATCTATAACATCGTTATTGCTGTAGGAAAGAATAGGAATATTTCACTGACAGCAAACTGAAAAAAATCTCATGAAGATGACATTTGATAAGTGTTGCGACTTTTTTTTGTTGTAATAGTTGCATAGATTTTACGAATTAGAAGGTTCTCTACTACTTACTCGTTTACTAGTTCATAAGATACGATATAGATAGATATGAATATATGTATCTGCTACCCTTGCTAAAATTTATTGAATATAGGGGTATATACATTGTTCATAGCATTTTGTATTTCTGGTTTCACCTGTTGATCCGCTCCCTTCTTGTGGACCTGGCCTAGTGAACCTGAAATAAAACTACACGTACACACTGCTTAGGTATGCATATGATGAAACATACTGGAGCTAAGTGCAAGTGTACAAAGTGTGATGCGTCATTTATAACCCCAAAATCATTAAACAACCACTTTTTGCAGAAACATCCTGAGCTTGCTACTTCTATATCACGTAAGATACACGAATGCACACATTGTGAATATAAAACTACATATAAGGAGAATTTAGCTGGTCATATGATGAAACATACTGGAGCTAAGCTCAAGTGTACAAAGTGTGATAAGTCATTTACATACACACAATCATTAGACGATCACATTCTGCAAAAACATCCTGGGCTTACTGCTTCTGTATCTCGTAAGATACATAAATGTACACATTGTGAATATAAAACTACATTTCCACACTGCTTAGCTAGTCATATGATGAAACATACTGGAGCTAAGCTCAAGTGTGCAAAGTGATGCGACATTTAAATCCACACAATCATTAGACGATCACATTTTGCGGACACATCCAGAGTTTGCTACTTCTGTATCATCTCGTAAGATACATAAATCTACACATTGTGAATATAAAACACCACGAAAATATAAACTGACTAAACATACGAGGAACATACAAAGTCATGGTTAGTGCTTTTTTGTTTCCTTTGTGGTTAATGCGTGCCTTTGCAGGCAAATTAAAGTTTCAATTTTAACCCTTGTAGTTTAAGAGATGTCATAATGACAATTCAAAGGAAATAGTTATACTAATACCCAAATTTACCGCCCTTTTCAAATCCAGCACAGCAGAGGTGATCCAAATCTCAAATTAAGGTTTTGTTACTACACTGATTTGGTGAAACTTTAACTAGCGGATGCGATCTGGCTACTTTGCTACACAACCATTTTTCTGGCTTTCACATTTTCTCAAATATACTCTGCATTCTGTCACCATCAAAGCATGCTGGCGAAGTTGCAGCATGGTCGTTGAGTCATACCTTTATAGGTACCGCTATGAGTGTCACTCACAGCACCATGTCAAGTCCACTTGTAATGATTTCCCAATACGACATAAAATATAAAGATGTTTTCAAAAGTTATAGTCAGACATATGAGAAACACACCCTAAAAATCATTAGATCAGTTTGTCTTGCCAGTACAAAATGATGTAAATACTTAGCCAACCATTTCAGTGAAAGCTTTATTGGAGCCGCTCCAAAACTTCTCTCAAACAACCAACTTTGAGTTATGAATGCGACTTAGATCTAAAAAATAAATCAATATTTTTAACTCCAATGGATCATGATAAATTGCTCAGAATTGTATGCACACTGAAAAACACAAAAAGTTGCTATGGGAAAACGTGTAACATCGACTCCTCCTCGGCCAAATAGTACTGGTGTTCCTCAATATATATATATATATATATATATATATATATATATATATCCACCACCACGAAAAACACGCAAAATTTCATCTATGCAGATGATACAACCATTTTGATACCATATAAAGGAGCATCTGATATCCGAATCTTGATAGAGACACAAATAAACCATATTCAAAACTGGCTGGAGGTGAATAAGTTAGTATTCAACATATAAATTCATGAACCTCTATGTGTCAAAAGCGATATAAACCTTATGGGTGTCACATACGATAGCTGTCTTAAGTTTGATAAGCACATTGAAAATATGGCTTCACAACTCAATTAAGCATGCTATGCATTACGAGTGCTTACTTGTCAACTGCCCTTGCAAGCCGTGCAGACTGCCTACTTGCCTATTCTATTATGTCTTATCAAATAACACTTTTGGGTAATAGTTCCGCGGCCACCAGAATTTTTATCATACAGAAGAGGATAATAAGAACCATCTTCAAAATGAAACTTAGAGAGTCATGTAGAAGTCTATTTGAAGTCAACAGCTTATCAACATTGCCGGGAATTTATATCTATAATACTCTACTTTTTATCTAAAACCATAAAGAAATGTTTGAAAAAACGTCTTCAACTACAGTTATATTACTCGCAAAAGTAAGAAATTCATCTACCCATCACATAAGCCAAATTATACCGGAAAGTGTCCATATTGCTGAAGCTTTACAATGCTTTACCTCAACATCTTCAATCCATTTCAGCGCTCCCTATATTAAAAAAACATTGATATATATATATATGCAAAATGGAACCATATAGTATTGAAGAGTTCTATACTCTAGTGAACCCGTGTTACCAATATCCTTGTGTTATATGTTGTCTAGGTCTATGTTATTTACATTGTACCACAATGAGGTGTTATCTTTGTTGTAAAGTTTGGCCTGGTTTTTCAATCGCAAATTAACTTGCGAGTTGGGTAACGTGTAAAATTGCGGTTTAACTACGTCTATCAATTTCACCGATATCTGGCACCTGTAGTTAAAGTTTAGGGCAAACCTTAAAAACGCTTATTGAAGTTCAACTTCGGGTTAGCAGTAAATCTGTGGTTAACCTGGGTTTGCGAAACTGGTCCTTACAGGATTGATTTATTTGTTAGATGAATTAGAATAAACTCCTTATTTAATATTTATGTTTGTTTTACCATCCGTGTTAGTTTATTAAGTTATACAAGGTCTGTCGCAAAGTAAACAGGAATTTTGAAAGATATCCGATATAAGTAGCGCCATCTATTATCGGAGACTAGCGCTGGATAGGTCCCTACATGTTTCATTTTTGCCCTATGAAACTTTCATGACAATCGAACCACTTCATGCGGAGTTATCGCGCTCAACGTGACGGTACCTTTTTAGCATCGGTCAAAAAATGAGCATCGAACAAAGAGCCAATATTAAGTTCTGCGTTAAACTTGGCAAAACATTTACCGAAATGCATCAGATGTTGATGCAAGTGTATGGTGATAATTGTTTATCCCGTAGCCGAGTCGATTGAGTGGTTTACTCGGTTCAAAAAGGGTCGTGAGTCGCTGGAAGACGATGAACATGTTGGCCAGCCGAAATTTGTGATTACGTCAGAAACTATTGAAAAAGTGCGAGAATTTATTTGTTTCTACGATTCGAAAGGAATTATTCACAAAGAAATCAAGCTACCGGTCCAAACAGTTAATGCTGTTTTATCTTGGTGTTGAGGCGTTTGCTGTCGCGTATTCGTCGTGTTCGACCAGAATATCGCGAAGAAGAAAGCTGGAGCTTGTGGCACGGTAATGCACCATCTCATCGATCGAGGATTGTGTCCGATTTATTGTAAAAAAATGGCATTTAACCATCAACCACTCCCCATATTCTCCTGATATGGCACCGTGTCACTATTTTCTGTTCGGTAAACATTTGGTCATGAGGGGGCAGCGGTATGCCAACATAGAAGCCATCCAAAAGTCGACGATCATTTTGAAGGACATCCCAGTCAGTGAGCTAAAATCATCATACGAAAATATTTTGGTCCGTGCAAATCACTGTATCAACTGTGAAGGATACTATTTTGAATAAAATAAATTCCATTTTCTGATAAAAATTGTTTGTTCACTTTTTTCTATGCCCTGTTTACTTTGCGACAGACCTTGTATTAACTTACAATCGACCTGAGCGAAAGAAAGCCTCCAGTTTATGTGTAATTAACTTGTATGTTTCCTAATTTCGCATTCAAGTTATAGTTGCTAATATTATGTGAGGATTAGATGATTCAAGTCGATATTAGCACATTTGTTTATCTACATGTTCGGTATATTACTGTTATGATATGTTGTACATTTCATATATTGTATTTGAAATAAATATATTTGAGTATTACACGTCTTTTGAATGATAATCCAAAAATAAGCATGAAATAAAAAATACATACAATTGTAATACAAAAAGCAAGTACTAGATTTGGTTTCCCTTCTACACTTAGAGCCTTTATGGATTCCTTGATTTTGATAATCTTTTCTCTCCTTCAAAAAGGTTGTGGTATTTCTATATTTCTACTGTTCCGTGTCAGCGTCAGGCTATGTTTTCTTTTTGAATTGTAGGAAATTTCAGGCTGATATAACATGATATAAATCAAAAGCATGAACAATTTGATGAAAATAGTTTTGTTGTAACATAGCCTCAAAGTAGAGCGCTGACACGGAACAGTAGAAAACTATGGAAATCAAAGAGGCCATAAAGACCCCCTACGATATTTGTAGGAACGACTGACGATACGGTCCTAAAGGGTGACCACAATTTTACTACGCTTGGGGGACTTTACAGAATTGATTCAATCGAGTTGAATCACATTTCGTGATAATTACAAAGTTTTACGTCGAGTAAAAAAAATTTTAACTTACACAATTTTATTTCAATCTGTTTTTAAAGATTAAATATAGCCGATTTGCATTCTTGGTACCAATAACGCAAAACAACTGAAGTCGAAATCAGGTTGCTCTCGGTTTGCTCTTGGTGAAAACGGTGCTCTGCATTACAGATCAATGTTTGAAAGTAGTATTTCAGCAAAAATGGAATAATGATAAATAGACTATATATATATATATACGTGAGCAGCAGTCATTGCCATTGCCAATGACAAGTTGGGCAAAAAATACAATTAATTGTTAATGAGATGTGCTCTATCATCGAATATTAACAACACAGGTGACTCTATGAATTATGGCAGTATTGAGGTTCTTGACAAAGAAAAAAGACTCTCAAAACGTTTATTTTTAGAATTGTCCCACATGTTCATGACAGATCATTGCATGAATAAAAAGGCTGATGTTAAGCAGCTTAGTGTCATTTATTCTTACCTGTTGAATTGCGAAAAGCTAGAACGGCTACATATCCAAATCGATCCACCGTCGTCCCAAAATTAAAATACATTTCCAATTGCTATCCTGTTAATTGAAATTTCTCACTCAACCTTTAATATAAATTCATATAACCCATCTTTTCAAGTGTGTATCACTATCTCACATTCGTACACTCATATGAACTACACACTTTTCCAAAACAAAGTAATTCAGCAATTTTGTAATTTGGGTGGAGGTTCATCGAGCGTCCCTCGTATACTTCATACCCAAATTGGACAATGAGGTTTACAGTTCCACGTTCCGTCGCGTCAATCACTTGTCATCTGTCGACGCATTATCTTTCCGTTCCGTCCCCCTCTCCACGTGTAGCGGAAGTAGGTGGTTAGAAACTGCATTCCGATTGCTTCTTCAAAATGTCTTCTCATGATTAATATTTTTAATATGTTCGGGTATATTGATATTTTTAACTCATAACGAAGGTAACTGTCGTTATCAATAAGCCCAATATCTCCGTCCGATTGTTTTTATATTTGTAACAAGTTCTCTCATCTCTACGTTCGTTTTGAAACACCATTTGGCTGCAACCTCAACGACGAGTAAGTTGTTTGACAATTTAAGTCGCTCCTGTATTGGTTGCTGGCAGCACAATTGTGTTTTCAGATCTCCATATAGAAGCCGAAAGCTTGATTTTATCGTCAAAAGAGTCAACTAAAGCCTAAAAGTTTGAAAATTTCCCAATTAACAATTAATTGTATTTTTTGCCCTATATATATATATATATATATATATATCTTTCAAATCCTGCTTAAGAGGATCGTTTAAGCTTATATTATTTATAGGAATAAAGGTTAATGCAAACTTCAGAATCTGTCGCGCTATACGAAAGTGAATCGATTCTCTTTTAAAATACATGAATGCACTGTGAATAGAACGATCTCTTCTTGGCCATATTTTAAAGAGACGTCCCAACTTTAGCGGGACAATTTCTAATAAGATATATGAATGTATGAATTGTGCACACAGAGTTATTGATAGGAGTAATTATATAAAGCACGTGGCAAAACATGATACTCAAATGTCTAAAATACGTGAATGTACACGTTGTGAATATAAAACATTTCCACACTACTTAGCTAGTCATATGATGAATGATACTGGAGCTAAGCTCAAGTGTACAAAGTGTGAGGCATCATTTATAAGCAAACGATCTTTAGACAACCACATTTTGCGGAAACAAGTTTTCTACTTCTGTATCTCATAAGATACATAAATGTACACATTCTGAATATAAAACTACATTTCCACACTGCTTAGCTTGGCATATATATATATATATATATATCGTCGGTGAAGGAGACAGTCGTCGTTGTGAGAAATATTGGGAAATTGCTTGAAATACGTAAACAGTATGGTAGTTCAGAGCGGACAGTGCGGGATCGAATTAAAGTAAAAAATTAGTTTCTTGTTCATTTTTACACAGTTTGAAGGTATTTTTGATGAAAATACCTATATTAAATGGACTCACTATGAGTGTGTTTAATTTCTTTTCCTCAAAGTCTTAATGAAAGCTAATTTGAAATGTCTATTCTCAAGTCATCGTTGGTTGTCAGAGCGGTCCGTGGGACCTTAGCTCTTGAGTCACAGTGTCAGTTTGTATGTCTGTCAGGTCTGGTAACCCAGAAACCAGACAATTTTAAGGAAAAAAGGGGAAAGAAAGGAGAGAAGGAAGAACGAGAGAAAAGGGGAAGAAGAGAATCTTTTAGGATAGGCAGCGTTTAGGCATTGTTAAAATCACTTCACAGATTTTGATATGGTCTAAAAATATTTGATTTTTTCTAAAGATTGTGTCAAAATGCTCCAATTTTGGTTGTTCTAAGTTCACGAGTTAATTTTGATTACAGTGCGAGCCGCGGCCTTTTGTGCTTGCGAACTTGTTCGACTGTGAAGTCCACTGACTCACGCAACAGAGGGTTGCTGTGCGATTCCGCTAGGCTATATCGCCGCTGCGCCTGTTGCTTAATGTAGTCCTTTAGGTAAGGGACATCGAGGTCGCTATGTAGAGTTTCGTTAGAGACATACCATGGGGCATCAGCAATAGTGCGCAACGTCCTGCTTTGATTTCGCATGTGTGTTTTAGCAATAAAACACTAAGCCGCACATGCGTAAGTCATTGCTGGTCTTACGACCACCTTATAGAGTCGAATCTTGTTAATCAAACTTAATTTTGAACGTTTACATAATAATGGGTAAAGCTGCCGAAACGTAATTTGGAATTTAGTTTTTAGCGCTTCCATATGGTTCCGCCAAGTCATCCCTTTGTCCAGAATGACACCGAGATACTTAGCGGAGGATTCCCATGGTATACAAAGTCCATTCATTGAAACTTCAGACGGAACGCCGCGACGTCTTTTTGTACAGTAGATTGCCTGCGTTTTCGAATGGTTTATTTTAATTAGCCACCGATCCGCCCAATCTAATACTTCCTCCACCGCACTTTGCAGCCTGTCATGGACTAGGTCACCAGACCACGACTGAACCACCAATACAGTATCGTCAGCATAGAGATAGACTTCACAGTTGCTGGGACTAGGGACGTCATGGATGTACAGTGAGTAAAGGCTAGGTCCAAGGACCGAACCCTGAGGGACGCCGGCTGTAATCAGCCGTGTTCACGACAGGATAATGTCAATTTTGATCCGAAATTTCCTACCTTCAAGGAAGAATTTCAGTAGTTTTAGAAACCAAAAAGGGGAGCCCTTTTGGATTAGTTTATACAAGAGGCCCGCGTGCCACACCTTGTCAAATGCTTTTGAGACATCCAAAAGCAAGATACCAGTACTTTCGTTAAGGGTGAATCCTCTGGTTACACGTTCCACCAGCCTAACCGCCTGTAGCTCCGTACTATGTTCAGACCGAAAACCGAATTGCACGTCAGGAATCACATGGTGATCTGACAAGAAATTCTCAAGGTGACGTAGAATCACCTTTTCAGCGAGCTTAGACGGAGCTGACAGCAGGCTAATGGGACGATAATCCTGGGGAAATATCGAACCCACCTTCTTTGGAATCATTATAACTTCAGCGGTCTTCCACGCGGATGGGAAGTACTGGATCCTTAGCATGGCATTGACTATTGCCACGAGATAAGTTAAGGACTTCCGCGAAAGCAGCTTCAGCGCCTTATTAGTGATTTGATCCTCCCCAGGTGCTTTACGCACTTTAAGGTCTTTAATATGACCTTGAATCTCTGCTGGTGTGCAATGCGGGATCTCAGGAGATACCGCTGATGTGCTAAGCAGATCTTCGGTTGAAGAAGCTTCTGAAGAAGAATCTTCTGATGAAGAAAAATCACCAGCGATAGCGCGACTGTCACTGACGCCGTTGGCCCTAAAATATCTCCTGACAGATCTTACGATGTGTTGCTCCTCGTCAAGGTCATTATCAAGATCATAGTTGGGAGAGAACTGTCTTTCCATGGCATCGGCGAAAACCTCAACCTTCTCCTGTGTCCTGAAGACAATGCCCCCAGGACCGTGAATGTGTGGGATTTGTTCACGCTTTCCGTTTTTGAGCGACTTCGCCACCTTCCCGAGAGGAATGCTTGAGTCAAGCATCCCCGCCAGAAAGTCGTTCCATTGCTCATTGCGGAATTCATGAAGAGCATTTCTTACTTCATGAACAAGATTCGTCGCTCTGCGAATGTCATCAGGATGACAAGACCTTTTCGCTTGCTTAATTGCAGCCCTTTTATCAGAAATCTTCTGACGGATGTCTGCTGGCAGAAAAGGTCTGCCGTGTCGCTGCACGGGAAGTACAGCTGCACGCTGCAGAGTTTGCTGAACAAAACTTGTCCACTCTGCTTAAGCCGCATCTATACCGTTCTCATCATCTATGATCGGTATATTGGGGAACTCTGAATAGCGACTTGTATAGCTCCCAATCAATGCGTTTCCTTGGAGGGATTTCATCCCCCAAGATCTGCTCATTAGCCACTTCCAAAACGACGGGAAGATGGTCGCTTGAGATGTCATACATGATTCGAGAAGTGATACTGTAGCTACAGTTTTTGGATAATGCAAAATCAAGAACATCAGGTGCCTGAAGGTGATTAAATGGGTGGTGCGTCTGCTCCTCAGTACTATGTATGAGGTAGCCATTTCGTATCACATGGTTGTACAGTCGGATCCCACTGGTGGAATTCAACCTGGAATGCCATGCTCGATGTTTGCAGTTGACGTCCCCTGCCACAATAAGTGGACCCGAGCAGTCTAAAAGGACTTCCAGATCCGCCTCTTGCAGCCTGATACCACACCTGACATACACCGATGTGATTTTTAACGGCACAAACACTGACATTTTTAGAAGAGTCTTTGCATTTGTCAGTCCATAGAAACTCTTTATCACACCAATGATACGGAATCTAGGGCATATTTGTATAATTCAACGTTGCATAATAAGATGTATACAAACACAAACAGATGACTAATGTCTATTCTACCATCACAAATTTTTAAACACGCTTCTACCTATAACTGGCCAATCAAACCCTTTCCGACAATTGGAAACTAGCCGGCCGACTAATAGCGCCTTCTGTCCGAGTACCGACCAAATAGCACCTTTTTGGTTGGTATTTTTTTTTATAAAATTACAGGAATATCTAAACGATGTATTTGTTGTAAGCGAAAAGTTAACAACATAAATATATTATGATCACCTAAAAAATCCAAAAGCATTAGTTGTGATATCTTGAACACAAAATTCGTAATTACACTTTATTCCACTTTTGTCTAAACTGTTCGACCACTCTGGCACATATCCACCCTACCCATTTAATCAGTTGTATTCTGAAGCAAGGCCACTATTTTTTTACTGAATTATAACATATCAGTTTCAACATAGAAATTATTCTGTTAGATCACTTATATCAAATACACCTTCTCTGCTATCCCAGATTTATTTGTTCCTCCCCGTTCCGTGTTGGATTTTTGCTCTTTTATTCTTACTGAGATTGGTCTTCTTGAAAATCTAGTTTCGATTTGGTATCGTCTTCCAGTTCTTCTGAATGCATTACTTATTCCCTCATCACTGGCAGAATTGATGAAATCACATTTCAAATGTAAGGAGAAAATACGATTTTGGGAAAATTCGTTTTATTTCTGACATCCCCGAAAATAATCTGAATTACAAACCTTTCTAAGTGACACTTTCTTAGATACCTATCCATTCCCAAATCCCTAGACCTAGGTGATTGTTAAAAAATCACAAAAAGTGAAAAAATCTGTGAATGAATATTCGGGATGATTTCGTAATCGCACTCCTAAATACCAGTTTGAACGCAGATTTATTTCAATGCCTGCACGATTTTACGTAGAACGTTGTGCAAAAATTACAAGAACTTATAACACGGCTTCAACCATTACATCTTCAATAAACACTGTAAGGGAACCATGATCTTTTAAAAAAATGGTAATTTTCTAGATACTTCATTGTGGAAGGATTCCGTTGACTTTGGGTAGGACAGATGAATTGTTTTTTAAAATATTCAGGTTCTTGCTGACTGGACTATCTCCTCCGATTCGTCTCGTTTTGAGAAGAATAATCTTAAGTTACCTAGTAGAGATATCTAGGCATTTGTATTTAGTTAAAAGTAATCGTATAGAGAAATCCAGCTAAAAGGTATACTGTTAAATCTTCTCCAGTAGATGTCGCTAGGCTGTTGAGTTGGCGGCATCTGTAATTTGAGAAGATATATAAACCGAATGTTGAAAACTGTATAAAAAGTAGATACTTATATTTTCCTCCAACAGATGACTGAAGCCATGACACAAGTGACTGACTCCAGTGTACATGTTTTGTGGGTTGAGCCAGTGATGCCAGAGCTACCATTTATCAGTAGATCTACCGATTTTGAGTCCGCTACTAATATACCGATTTTTACCAACAATCTACCGATTCATTATCAATTGAGTGAAGACATACAATTTATTTCATAAAAATGACTTAAAATACTTCTTTAATGATTTAACGTTTTCAGTGACAGGTTGCTCTTGTTTGCTTTAACGCTTTAACTGGCACATCTTTTTACCATCTGTCTGTCCGTGAGGTCCATGAAATGCAAATTTGATAAGGATAATACCCGTTGGGTACACGGGTGATTGACGTGATTTCCTGATTCCCCGGTACGGTATAGGCCATAGTATTATTATTTAAATAGATTATTTTCTTCTTAGCTAATCAAATATTTATTATATTTAAATTACAGTGAGTTATACATATTATGTTATATTGAATATGTTTTTAAAAGATGTGTTCATTTATTTACCTATTTTGTTTCTTAGTAAATAAGTTTCTACTATTTTACAGCGTTTTACTTATATCTCATACATACATACAAATATTAGCGTTAAAAATCATATTAATAGAAAAAGTACCGATTTTTTCTCAAATATTCGGATATTTAGAGGTTTAACCTACCGACTTTTTAAGGAGACCTCTGGCAACACTGGGTTGAGCTTAGGTGTTTTTAAATGTGATTTTTGCCTATACAGCAACGGTAAACGGTAGGTACCAGGGGGGGTGAAACATTACAAAATTGCAAGTTATACAAAACAAAATTCTATAACGCGACCATTCATCATGACCTGGATATTCCTTTCTTGTCTCCATTCATTAAGCAAATTGCAAGCAAAAGTTACGAACGTGCAACTTCACATTCAAATCCTTTAATAAGAGATGCGGTGACATATGATCCTGCATCCATTCGCAAACACAAAAGACCTAGATTAGCACTTCTTTAACAATCTGAACATCTAAAACTATGATTTATTCTTTACTTCGTTACATTGACTACTTTTTTCATAACTGTATAATCTATCTTTGGCATTATTTCTTGAAGAGATTCGTTTTTCTGCCAGTTAGAACCTCAGTAATTTTTGGGCAAAAGGCCCCCGGCCTACCCTGAGGAGTAGAAGAAGCTAAGTCAACTCAAGGGGGGTGAAACTCATTTTGGCGAATGGGATACAACGTAGTGTTGCTGGTGCACAATATGACAACCATGTCGCCCTCTCAAAATATGGCTTATTCTCAACTGACGATGTCTGAACTCTGATTGGCCAGATTTAAATTTCCGGCAGGTTTCTTCCTGTGCTCTGTGCTTTGCAAATTGCAAAATAACCTTACTTTTTTCAGCATGTCATTTTCTTAACACTTCATTTTTATAAATAATATGCCATAGAATTATTTTATTCATTATATATATCCTAGAAATCAAGACTGGACATTCAATAAGTCGTGTAGAGGAACCAAGAGCATGAGTTTCAGTTCAACATTGCAAAGGTAAGAAATCTATTAATAGTTGATCAAGAAACGTTCAAATAGCTTTCTCATTGTATGGTACAATGAGGTGTACATATCTATCATGCAATGGCAACTTTAGGAGCTTTGAAAATACTAGAGTAACTCGTCACTTCTTTTATAAATATTTATGCCATTGTTTAACATGTTCTCCTAGGAGATACCCAGCCTCATGTTGTATTTGGATATTCACATAAAATTTTAACCATCACAGCCATTTTGCCTAGTAACTAATTCCATTTGAAGTAATAAAAACAGATTCCCCTTTCCTTTTAACACATTCACTGCCATGTTGGCGCTCATTTACCTATGTATGCCTGCAGAAATGGACCAACATGGCCTAGAAGCTATAGGCCGCACATATAATTTCTTAGATTTTTCCATAATGAGGAATGTGGCCCCAATGGGACTGACATCTTTTTTATATGGTGGCCCACTAGTACTCAATGTAAAATGTATGTTTGGCATGGTGGACACATGTTAAAAAATATGTCTGGAAGCGAACATGTTAAAGAAAATTGTTTATTCTTACATTTGACATCAGCCTCCCAAGTAAAGATCACCTTTCAACATCCTCCATAATTATTCTTAATATTTTATATTCTAAATGGTAGAGAAGGAAATCCCTTCAGCAACAGTCCAAGAAGTGGCAACACAGCCTAGACATGGTGCTTGATAGTTATAATCATATTATTTTAGTATCAAAGATGAACGCTGGGATGGAGTTAACCAGGTGAAAATGGAGAATCAGTTAGTAGTTAGTGTTAAATCTGAAACACCAGAAGCAGAACAAACTTTGAACAACACAAAGTTAGAAAATATGGACACTTTGATGCTAAATGAAGAGTTTGACATCAAATATGAATGTGCAGATGCCATATTTGATAGGTGGGCCTAATTTTGTTTTGGATCTATTCAATTCAAAAACTACCTTAGAAACAAATGAGTCATTTATACTGGGTATTCATTAAAAATGTTTCCCCATACATAATTTTCAAACAAGTCAACTTAGCAGAAGTTTGGGGTGGTGAAATTAATGCACAAGTATTATAGGTATGTTAGCTTATTAGTAATTTCAAGATGGTTGTTGAGCACCATCAAAAATATCGTAAAATGTAAGAACTATTTTACATTTCATAAGTATTCCTGTATGTACCATATTTGTTCACCTGTTTGTTTTAATATACTTCACCAACCAGAGATTTTCTATTCTTATCACTCTATTTTTTTAAATTCAGCAATTTTGCAAATGTAATTTCTGGGTTGAATAAGAAAAAGCAGATGCGAAACTAATTTTTAGCTTTGCATACATCTCAAGTAAGTGTATTTGAGACAAGAAACCAATGGAATTATCATCGACACATATAATTAACACACAAATCCTCACTATGAACCTATGCACTGCTGTTTCCATCTAGCTATAGTATACAATTTACAGCTTGAATCTCCAATACTACTCTGAAACAGATGTTATATCATATCAGAGACAAACAGTGACAGCTGAAGCAACACATGCACAACATTTGGACAACAGCTAGTGCAAAGTTGACGTCTTGTAGAAAAAACTACATAAAATGCTGAAAAATGCTCCAAGGTGGGGCACTACCATCATTTTGACATGTTGCACTGCTACCCTAACAATAATAATAATAACCGTAATCTTTATTTGCAAATAGAAATGCTATACAAATGCTGTAAACCACTTGTGATACAAGTAGCATCAACCAAAAAGTTCCTCTGAACCATTTAAGTCAAATAGGTCTTGAAAAAGTAATCTATTGTGATGGTAATAGTTTATTTAATATTTTTTTAAATGTACTTAGTTTTACAATCTTCTTCCTAACTTTCGGTAAATGGTTGAAAACTTTAAGACAATTGTTGAGGGGTCCTTTTTGCAAATAATGCTAATCTATCCTCAGGATAAATATGGTTAAAAAAAGCTAAAATATAGTATTCATGCATGAAATTCGTCACCCCATTCAAAAAATAGCTGGGAAGGGGAACCTTTTTGAATCATCTTGTAAATTGACTGCCTTGTATTAAAACGCCCTCTTTATTACCATTTTAGAATTAAAGTTGAAGAGAAATTAGAGCCTGGACTTGAAGCTGATTCGACAGCAGATACAGTTAACCAGATGAAAATGGAGTTCCAAGAATCTGACAAGCTGGAAGAAAAACCAGATTTAAGGAGCACAAATCTTGAAAATATGTACGCGTTGGGGCTACATCACGGATTTGACATCAAAACTGAGAGTGACCAAAGTGACGAGCATGATTCGGCGTCCGATAGGTGAGTCTCCTTCAATCCCTAACTCTACGAGATGCCTCAAAATGAAATATGAATTTCTAGTATACAAGGTATGTAATAAAATTTTGTAGGTTTGGAGACTCCGATTGTCAAAAAATGTTTTGCTGCACTACTGACATAGATCCCCGAATCATAACAGAAGCCGGAAACTTGACTTTTTTATCAGACACTCATTCTGAAACACTTCTTCTTTAGTTCTTATGACACAACTCCTACTATTACCAAAGCATATGGAGTTCTATTGGTTTGGAGACCATAATTTGTGCTCTTTGGTCCATGCTAGTCTGTTTTTCTTCTGAATTCTTCTTCTTGTGTCAGTATACTGAATTAAAAACGAATAATAAATTATAATGTAAGCCTACCTTATAAATTTCAAATACCTGTTTTTGGGCAGCTCTCTGACAGCTGTTGAAAGCTTTTTTGTGGTTGCCTGATAGTTTCAATTCGTTATAATTAGCACGCCAATTTCAATTGATAATCCGTTTTAAGGCTCTCAAGTTGGTATTTTAATAACGCGGGCGTTCTGTGTTTTTGAGCCACAGATCCCGTTGTTTTGTACTATTTAATAATATTTCAAACTATATACCTCGATTTGTTAACATTGATTTGGGAAGCATTTTGGCTTTTTCAATGCAAATGAATGATCACTTTTCTTATTTTGTTAGAGACATCTTTACCACCAGCCATTTTTAATTGTTAGCAACAACACAAGTGTATTGTTTTACAAAGGCTACCTTTATTTTACTGAAACGAATAAACAGACCATTCAACTTAAGTTGTCTCCATCATGTATTTTGCTTTACACAAATCATTTTGCAAAGATGACAATTTCGAAATAAAAACACATTAAAAGTAGACGCGTTGGTTTTGTTATATTGTTATAAACATTTAAAGAAACCAAAAATATATTTTGGAAAATCAGGATCGCTTTCCAGGAAACAGTGCCGATTAAATAAGTAAATGCAACGAGGTTCAAACACAAAGCAACACTAGATGATCGTGTGATTAGGAAGCATGTCGGATCTATTGCATCAGTTTGATTTAAAATACATGAATGTACATTTTATGATTTTGAAACCGTTCGTAAAAGTAGTTTAAGCATGCATATGTCAAGACATGCTTCTTTTTCTGACCTGCACATGTGCAAATCTTGTAATAGGTCATTTTCAAATCCCAATACCCGAACTTAAGCGGACAGTGTCTACCAGTATATATGATTATATGCATCGTTAATTTAAAATAACCAATAAGACTACAATTATATAACACATGGCGAAACATAATACTCGAAAAACATTTGAGTGTATTCATTGTAACATTGTAATGTGTACTGCTTCTGTGTTCTCCTAAGATACCCGATTTTTTACATTGTGAATATAAAACGACAATCATGAAAACTTTAGCTGTACGAGTACGAGTCTTTGGTTCGATCAGTTGTATCAGTCTTTGAATAGTGCGTATCCTTTCATTTATCTGAGTATCTTGTGCGAAAAAATGGCCCATGTTTACGAAAACAATGATCTAGCGGACATAATACTGACAGACGGAGAGTGCCAACAAAATGCAGTCGCAGCATGCAGGTTGTACGCGGAAAGGTGTCCTTTAAGAAATCATCCGGCCCCACGGATGTTTGTAAATTTAGTTATTAGACTTCGTGACACAGGATAATATGCCACAATTATTAGATGTTCCTCTAAATGTGAGACAGAAGGTGTGGTTCCTACATGATGGTACTCCACCATATTTTAGACGAGAAGCTCATGAACATCCTAATAATGAGTTTCCGAATAGATGGATAGGGCGCAATCGGCCCATTTATCGGCCTGCTCACTCCCCGGATTTTAACGCCTTGCGATTTTTTTCTGTGGGGCTATTTGAAAGAGTTGGTGTATCACGATGGAGCAGTAAAGATTTTGGAAGAGCTTCAACAGCGCACTGAAAATGCTTGTGATTTAATTCGTGGACACCAGGATTTTATTTTCGGAGCTTGTATGTTAAAGAGTCGTAGATTCGCCGAGCGAGATTGTGCGTTAATCGAACAAATTGGGACAATTTGGAATAGTGTTTGTAAGAACGGTATCCGCTTAACTTGCTAATGATTCTCTTAAATAAATTTCAATAATGATTGTTTAAATTAATATTATTTTTTGAAAAAACGTTTAATGCAAACTTCAGAATCTGTCGCGGTATACGCAACTGAATCGATTGTCTTTATCAATTAAAAAACGTAAAGTATAATGAAACTTTTTTTCAGACTACCAATAAAGAAAACGCCGGAAAAGGAACAACGAAATCCACCGATCGAAGAACATTATATCCAAACGACATTCAAGTGTACAAACTGTGATGCTTCATTTAATACTAAACGACGCGTAGAAAACCACATTTTACAGAGACATCCTAAATTTGCCGCACCCGTGTCCAGTAAATCCAGTAAAATACGTGAATGTACACATTGTGAATATAAAACTACATTTCCACACTGCTTAACTAGTCATATGATGAAACATACTGGAGCTAAGCTGAAGTGTACAGAATGTGATGCATCATTTACATCCAAACAATCATTAGACGATCACATCTTGCGGAAACATCCCGAGTTTACTACTTCTCTATCTAGTAAGATACATAAATGTACACATTGTGAATATCAAACTATATATGCCCATTCTCTAGCTAGGCATATCTTCAAACATACTGGAGCTAAGCTCAAGTGTACAAAGTGTGATAAGTCGTTTACATACACACAATCATTAGACGATCACATTTTGCGAAAACATCCTGATCTTACTGCTTCTGTATCTCGTAAGATACAAAAATGTACACATTGTGAATATAAATGTCTGCAAAAGCAGCATCTCATCAGACATATGATGAAACATACTGGAGATAAGCTCAAGTGTACAAAGTGTGATGCGTCATTTACAACTAGACTATCATTAGACGATCACAATTTGCGAAAACATCCTGAGTTTACTACTTCTGTATCTCGTAAGATACATAAATGTACACATTGTGAATATCAAACTATATATGCCCATTCTCTAGCTAGGCATATCATCAAACATACTGGAGCTAAGCTGAAGTGTACAGAATGTGATGCATTATTTACATCCAAACAATCATTAGACGATCACATCTTGCGGAAACATCCTGAGTTTACTACTTCTGTATCTAGTAAGATACATAAATGTACACATTGTGAATATAAATGTCTGGCAAAGCAGCAATTCATCAAACATATGATGAAACATACTGGAGCTAAGCTCAAGTGTACAAAGTGTGAGGCGTTATTTATAAGCAAACGATCTTTAGACAACCACATTTTACGGAAACATCCTGAGTTTTCTACTTCTGTATCTCACAAGATACATAAATGTACACATTGTGAATATAAAACTACACACGCGTATTCTCTAGCTATTCATATTATCAAACATACTGGAGCTAAGCTGAAGTGTACAAAATGTGATAAGTCTTTTACAACCATACAATCATTAGACGATCACATCTTGCAGAAACATCCTGAGTTTACTACTTCTGTATCTAGTAAGATACATAAATGTACACATTGTGACTATAAAACTACATATAAGGAGCATTTAGTTAACCATATGATGGAACGTACTGGAGCTAAGCTCAAGTGTACAAAGTGTGATAAGTCATTTATAACTACAAAATCATTAAACAACCACTTTTTGCAGAAACATCCTGAGCTTGCTACTTCGATATCTCGTAAGATACACGAATGCACACATTGTGAATATAAAACTACATATAAGGATAATTTAGCTGGTCATATGATGAAACATACTGGAGCTAAGCTCAAGTGTACAAAGTGTGATAAGTCATTTACATACACACAATCATTAGACGATCACATTCTGCAAAAACATCCTGGGCTTACTGCTTCTGTATCTCGTAAGATACATAAATGTACACATTGTGAATATAAATCTCTACAAAAGCGGCAATTTATCCAACATATGATGAAACATACCGGAGCTAAGCTCAAGTGTACAAAGTGATGCGACATTTAAATCAACACGATCATGTGTTCTGTATCATCTGGTAAGATACATAAATCTACACATTGTGAATATAAAACACCACGAAAATATAAACTGACTAAACATACAAAGTCATAGTGCTTTTTTTGTTTCCTTCGTGGTTAATGCGTGCCTTTGCAGGCAAATTAACTTTTCAATTTTAAACGTTGTAATTTAAGAGATGTCATAATGACAATTCAAAGGAAATAGTTATACTAATACCCAAATTTACCGCCCTTATCAAATCCAGCACAGCAGAGGTGATCCAAATCTCAAATTAAGGCTTTGTTACTACACTGATTTAGTGAAACCTTAACTGGCGGATGCGATCTGGCTACTTTGCTACCCAACCATTTTTCTGGCTTTCACATTTTCTCAGATATACTCTGCATTCTGCCACCATCAAAGCATGCTGGCAAAGTTGCAGCATGGTCGTTTTGTGATACCTCCTCAGGTGCAGCTATGAGTGACACTAAAGGCGCCATGACAAGTCCACTTGTAGTATGCACTTTTCTACTTGACTACAGACTGATATTTTGGAAAGAAACAAATCGTATTTGTTCCTTCCGCCTAGTCGGATACCGTTGAGCACAACTGTTACCGATTTCACTAGAGTAAAGAACGACTCCAAATCATGCTTACGCAATATTTTCACAACACGGATGTGAACTTTCAGTCTAAAATTATTGATACACTGTTCTCTGACCACAAAGGGCAATATACCCTCTTTTCACTCAATACCAATGAATCCAAAATGATTGAGAGTTTTTTTTGACTCACATATAACTAATTTTCTACAAGATCTAAAGTCAGCAACGATATTTATAATAGTGTCAATGTAAACAAAAAGTGGGATGTACTTTCTCAGATAATATAAAGCAGATTCAATTACCATTTTCCCTTGATGATAAAAAAGCGAGCTGTAAAACGCAAGAAATTTCCTTGTATTGACCCAGAATTGGATTGACTCAGGAACAGGATAAGTGCTCTTGCAATGATTTCCTAAAACGACATAAAATATAAAGATATTTTCAAAAGTTGTAGTCAGACATATGAGAAACACACCCTAAACATCATTAGATCGGTTTGTCTTGCCAGTACATAATGATGTAAATACTTTAGCCAACCATTTCAGTGAAAGCTTTATTGGAGCCGCTCCAAAACTTCTCTCAAACAACCAACTTTGAGTTACGAATGCGACTTAGAACTAAAAAATAAATCAATATTTTTAACTCCAATGGATCATGATAAATGGCATTGTATGCACTCTGAAAAACACAAAAAGTTGCTATGGGAAAACGTGTAACATCTACTCCTCGGACAAATAGAACAGGTGTTCCTCAATCCACCACCACGAAAAACACGCAAAATTTCATCTATGCAGATGATACAACCATTTTGATACCGTATAAAGGAGCATCTGTTATCTGATATCCGAATCTTGATAGTGACACAAATAAACCATATTCAAAACTGGCTGGAGGTGAATAAGTTAGTATTCAACATATAAATCCACGCACCTCTATGTGTCAAAAGAGGATAATAAGAACCATCTTCAAAATGAAACTTAGAGAGTCATGTAGAAGTCTATTTAAAGTCAACAGCTTATCAACATTGCCGGGAATTTATATCTATAACACTCTACATTTGGTAAACATAATGAAGCATTAGTTTCACATTCTATACAGTTATATGGATTTGTTGTTAGAAACTGTAGAAATTTTCATAATATAAGAACCATAAGCTTCTGTATTTTGCTTTTGTGAGGTTTAAACTGGAGTATGCTTGCATAGTTTGGAATCCCTTTTATGAGTGCCAAAAGAGTTGTTTGGAGAAAGTACAGAGAAGATTTTCTAAGTTCTTAGTTTATAAAATTGATGGAATTTACCCAGAAAGCGGTATTACCAATACCAAGTTACATAGAACAATTTAATATTGTTTCTAATTTCGTTTGTAGAAGAATTTGAGTAATGCTTTCTATTTAGATAGAATAGTAATGAAAAACTCTATTGTTAAGCACTGGAACTTCGTTTCCCACCAAAACTGCTGATAGAACAATATAGTATTCAACCCACGATTTGTATCTGTAGACTATAGTAAAACGGTTTTGAGTGCAAAATTTTGAATTTTTTTTAATATAATTGCTTCTATCGTTTGAAACAGCTATAAGTATATATGTGTGGATTTTTTATGTAAAACGGTGCTAGTTTGGCACATTTCGTTTAGTTTTCCTGAGAAATACCTACTTTCCTAATTTTCAGATACACTTCCAGAAATTTCCCCGAAATGGTTTTACGGCAAAAATAAAGGAATAAAAATTTTGGATATGGTACAAAATCCAAATAGTTCGGACCTCGAGAAAATAGAACTGTCCTCATGGCACAAAGAACAAAAAGTTTTACATGCGGATAGCATTCCATTTTTTGAATGTTAGTGTGATCAATTCTTGGATACTGTATAAAAAATCTAAAAACAATAAAATCCCCTTTGTTGAGTTCAAGGCGTCAGTAGCTAGCACAATTTTGAAGATGGATGGTAGCACGCGAAAAAGAGGCAGGCCTCTTAGTGAGGTGACAATGCCTCGAAAAAAAGGCCTTTCATAAAAACTGTACCTGAAATACGTACCGATGGAATAGGACATTTTCCTGTGAAAGTTAACTACAAAAATCCACCTTGTTGTCACGATAGAAACTGTAAAAAACGTACAAGATATGCATGTAAGAAATCTGAAGAAGCTGTATGGAGAATTTCCTTAACTAATAATAAGTAAATGTATATACCTAACAATACCTCAAACGGCCATTGCCACATATGTGTACACAACAGTTTTGCCATTTTTTTTCAACAAAAAACATTTGTAACAGAAAATAACATTTATTATAACTTTTAAATGTTAAATACATAATAAATTTTTTTCGGCGTTTTAATTTTTTGTTGGAAAAATCATCATTGAAGAGGTTAAATAATCTAATTGACAGTCCCTCACTTCTTTGAAAGATCAACATCAGTGTACCGACTTTTGCGTCGCGTACTCACTTCACGTTCAGAGCTACAAGGGCAAGAACAAATATTTCACTGAAGTCTCCGCTAAATAATATGTTTAAAAATTTCGATACGATCTGAACTTTCTGTAACATATTTTGTACTTCTAACAAGGAATTAGTTAGGATAGCTAATACACACGTAGGTCAAGGATATACATGAGATATGTTTGTTTTGTTATATAGTTTGTTCTGTATCTTTTGTAAGGATTTTGTATAATATTGTCCTATTAATGGGCTACTGTTGGACAATAAAGCTACTATCTAGCTATCTACAGTATATTCAGATAAGAGATAGACCGGACATAAACAAGACCACGTGATCATCGAACGCTGTAACATTCGGCAGGGACGTATTAAGAGTCACGCAGTACATATTTTAGATAGTAGATGCTGCTTTGCGTAACTTTGTAGTAAATTAGCACAATTCGATGTGTATACGATTGGTGATGGATATAGGATCATGTGGGGGTGGGGTAAGAAATATATAATGATGTAAATATACATAAGAGTTTCAAAATTTTCGCTTCGATTTCCAGCTTCGGATGCCGCCTGATGTTTGGTGAAATACAGTCGAATATAATCTCAAAATGGCGTTTAAATTAGCCTAAATTAAAAATAATCGTATATCTCTTAAAATTGCTTTTAGAATATTGATTAGTATATTTTTTGATTTCTAGGTAAATATGTAACCAAATTAAAACGTTCAAAACGTAAAAAAATGTGCATGGTTGAACATTGTCAGAAAGTAGATTCTTGAATAGGTTTTGCCAAAATGGGTTCAAAAATGTCAATAATTAATTAAAAAATACAGTAGCTTTATAATTACTTATAACTTACCGAATTTGATGAACGACATCTTTTATTGGAAAGATGAGCTTGATGAGCTTTCATCATCGCTACTGCCTGAAGCACCAACGTCAATAATGAATGGCTCGCCTTGTTCCTCTAAAATATTGTCCAGTTCCCACATTCTCTTTTCAACTTTGTCTTTCACGTGCTTAATACAGTTTTCCCATTTTTGCGCTGTTATTAATTCTAGTGCTTGTTTGAAAAGTCCTTTGAGGTCACAAAATTTAAAAGTTGTATTGTGCTTAGCTATATAATTTTTAACCTCTGCCCATATGAGCTCAATGGGATTGAGCTCGCAATGGTATGGAGGTAAACGGAGCACAGTTTTATTTTGACTTGCTGCCATTTCGTCAATGGCGTATTTTTGATATTCCGCCTTGTGATCCTTGACAATTCTTAATAATTGTACTTTCAGCATTGCTTCTTCAAAGTTGATATTTTTCGAACGGAGCCAATTTTGAACATCAACTTTCCTTGAAGCCGTTGTTGGGACCTTCTCCATTCTTCGAGAATGATAAGGCGCATTATCCAACACAATTACTGCGTTTTCCTCTAAGTTCGGTAAAATTTTTGAAAACCACTGTTCAAACGATTCGCCATTCATTTCCTCGTGGTAATCTCTAGTTTTCTTAGACTCAAAGCACCACAGACCGTCAACAACAAATCCATCCTCACTGCCAATATGGCAGATAATGAGCCTTTTCCCTTTACCTGGAAATCGAAGTACTAACTGGTGTAGATTTATTTCAATAAGCGAACCTTTTTCAAATGTTTTCATCACATTCAGCGAAAAAACATTGAGACATGAGTATCAGATTGCTATAATTGGGATTATTTAGTCATATTGAAAGAAAGAATATTGAACGTCGTATGATTACTCAGCGCTTCACAATTTAATTTAAAGTTATAAACCTTTAAAAAATGAATGATCAAGAACCTGAAATACGCGCAAATATTAATATTAACAAATTATAACTTTATAAAGCTTAAAGTATGGATTAAAATGATTAGAAATATTAGGAACGGTACACAATATAAAACTTAGTAACTTTTTTTAAGTTTATAATATTCGACATATTTTAAGATTATATTAAAAAATTATTGAAATATCGAAAACACATAAAAACATGGCTTAAAAAAGTTCTAACAAATGAAAATGACAATAAAACATCCACGCATTTTATCGAAAGTTATAAAAGTTTTGTTACTTGTAATATGTTTTATCTGCCCCCTGGAATTAATGTTTAGAACCTTGTTCCCAAGGTTTGAAAAACATCCGATTGTTGTCTATTACTCGTATTTACCTGCTGGATTTTTTTATCCGGTGGACAGTCCATCTAGAAAGGCCCTCCTGGATGAAGTTACAGAATCATCAACCCATATTTTACTTGTAGTGTGTCCTGCGTTTTCCCACGTTTCATCAAGGTAATAAATCTTCCTGTTTTGATTTCTATATTTCCCAATTTTTATTAAATAATCCCTCCTCCATAGCACAATTTCTTCTCTATCCAGTAGTAAACTATTACGACCCCGTTTTTTCCATTTGAAATTTAAATGCTTCAGTAACGCATGGAAAGTTGATCGTTTGAAATTTGGCAACGTTGTATCTCCATTTACCTCATGCAGTACTTTATCTATAGTAGGTATTTCATTCCTAAAGAAGAATTCATGCACTTTCCTCCTAATCGCATGCTTATCAGCTTCATCCAATGATTTAACAGTACTTTTGCGATGTTTACTGGTCATTGGCTCAGAAAAGGTGTTTTTTTTTGTATTGTCTTAACACATTAAACACTGATGCGCGACACACCCCAACTTTGTGAGAAACCTTCACAACAATTTCTTTGATGGTTGATGCCTCGTTCTCCTCGCGCTCGATCTTATATATATTCAAAATGACCTCTTTCATTTCTGCACTCAGGTGTCTTTTTTTTTAGAGCGTTTCCTAGGTGGACTACAGGAGTTTACAACTTCATCGGCAGTATCTGTACTACTGGGCATTTTGCGCAAGCAGTTGATAACAATAACAATCAATAACAAGGTATAACAATAACAACGACAAACTCAACAACTTAATAAGATAACAAATGAAAACGTCCAAAGAAATATCAAATTGCAATGATGCACACGACATACGTAACACGTCTGAACCTGAATGTGACTCTGCCTTGATACGACTGCTCTGCCGCTCGGCATAGGCATTTAATTGCGAATTGACCAATGAGGGCTCCTGTTTTACGTCGAGACGGCGGCGTTAGCGTGAAAATCACCCGAACCTTTTGTTTACATCCGGTCTATCTCTTATCTGAATATACTGTAATTGACAGTCCCTCACTTCTTTGAAAGATCAACATCAGTGTACCGACTTTTGCGTCGCGTACTCACTTCACGTTCAGAGCTACAAGGGCAAGAACAAATATTTCACTGAAGTCTCCGCTAAATAATATGTTTAAAAATTTCGATACGATCTGTACTTTCTGTAACATATTTTGTACTTCTAACAAGGAATTAGTTAGGATAGCTAATACACACGTAGGTCAAGGATATACATGAGATATGTTTGTTTTGTTATATAGTTTGTTCTGTATCTTTTGTAAGGATTTTGTATAATATTGTCGTATTAATGGGCCACTGTTGGACAATAAAGCTACTATCTAGCTGTCTATAAACTTTCTTAAAGATACGGGCGTGGCTCGCATCACGATTCAAATAGTGCATGGAAGAGATCGCTTCTCAGACCAAGTATTGCTCATTGTGGACCTAATTACAGTGTTGATATATGCTATTGGATGTAGTGTTTTGGTTACCTGAAAGGTGAGCAATCACTGCGTGTTTCCTTTATTCTACTGTACTGCATGGATTGATAACCATAATACTTTTATAATTATGATCATGAATGTCTTAAGCCATGTTTATAAAGATGCTATATTTTTTACCTTCATAATTTAATTTAAGGCTTACGACTTGTTATTGAATATCCGCAGGTGGGAGGCCTCCAGGTTCTGGGGGTTTTTATGGGACTTTGGGAGCCCGTTTGCTGTGTTGAGTTAGTTATGTTAATATTACTGCTCGGTTTCCTCTACCAGGGGAAACGTCGGAGCGCTTGGGATATATAGAACAAGATGTCGAGCCAGTCGGTCGATCCGGCAAAACCTCCTGACAATAAATGCAAATTCTGTGCTAAATTTTGTTCGCTAAGTGAAGTTAAGTGTACTAATAGTGCATGTGATACTCTTCTACATGGAAAATGTTTCGATTCAATTGCCAAGATTGTGCCAATGAAAAAGGAAGAATTCCGTTGTAAAGATTGTTTGGGAGACGGCAAGGTGTCTCGTAGCAGTACCGATGTGCTGCTCTTGCATAAAGAAATTGATTGCCTTACACGAGAAAAGAAATTGCTAGAAAAGTATGTGAGTGAACTAGAATTTTCTAATACTATTTTGAAATCTAAAACGCCTGCTGTTTCCTCTACACTGAATTCGGCTATGGTTTTTTCCGAACTCGTCGTTGGTAAACACATACTCGCAAGCAGCAAAAAAAGTCTCGCCATCAGCTGTGCTGATTATTAAACCCACTGACATAAACATGGGGAACGCAAAATTGGAGCAGGAGCTGAAGTCTAAATTCAGGCCGAGTCAACTAAATGCGAATGTTACTGGTACTAGACTCATTAGGGATGGCGTGCTAGTCAACTGTGCTGATGTCAAGTCGCTTCAAAATTTGAAAGATGGTCTCAAGAGGCAAGCTGGAAATGCATTTAATGTTTATGAGCCGAAAAAACTTCGTCCGAAGATTGTAGTCTACAGTGTTGATAAATCAGCTGCCGGGGATGTCCGCCTTTCTGAAATTATCATTGCAGATAATGAATTAGATGCTACGGAAGCTGATATTCGTGTGGTTACTAATTTTAAATTTAAGGACGGTATCAATGTTGTCCTTGAAGTTACTCCTTCTATTTTTAAAAATGTTATGGGCAAAGGATTTTTATATATAGGTTGGAAAAGATGTAATGTAAAGGAGCATTTTAATGTTGCAAAATGTTTCAAGTGCTATAACTATGGGCATTATAAAAAAGATTGCAAGAGTTCAGCTACGATTTGTCCTCAATGTTCAGGAAATCATGAAAAGCGCGACTGCATTTCTTCTGATCTCTGTTGTATTAACTGTAAGACTTCCAACAATAAGTTTAAAACAAATTTTCCTACTGACCATTCAGCTAATAGCACTCAATGTTTGTGCTACCTTAACAAATTAGGACAACTTAAGGATAGAATTCAATATGAACAATAAAAACATAGAAATTGGCCACTTGAATTGCAGATCTATTTTCACTCATTTTGATTGTTTTGTTCATCTAGTATTGGATTTTGACTTTGATGTTATCTGAAACTTGGTTGAACAGTGATATCTATAGTGGAGCAGTTGGTATTCCAGGATTCTCTTTACTTAGAAATGATCGCTCTACCAGGGGTGTAGGAGTTGGGATCTATTTTAA